CTGTCTCATATTTAAGCTAATACAGTTCTTATTATATCAACTAAGTAAAACCTGCTATGATGCTTATTTTTTGCAATTTGCCCTCTTATCTGCCCCCCTGCAGGTGGGAAACCATGCAAGGAATTTTAAATCTTAAATGTAGTAGTATTTTCTTCTTTTCTGAATGACAAAAAAAGTGTATGGTGTAAAGTAGAAACTGAGCAGCCAAGACTTCTGGTTTGCCGACACAGCCGCCATGGACGTTTGGAAGGCGAGCTCCATTTTCCACATCCAATTTCGCTTTGCTGGGGGACCCTGGAAAGGGGCGAAAGTCGCCCTATAGGGGCGACCAGCAAGGAGGGGATCCTCACTTGATCGCGGGAGGGCGGTAGCCCTTCCGCTTGATCCGGGGCAGCCCTCCAAACCGGCGGATGAAAGACCAGCCATAGAAATATGGCTCGTAACTAGGCTGCAGACAGCCGAAGTTACATTTACCATCAGGCAACTCTAAAGCAGCGCGGATCAGACTGCGTGAGATCTACCTCTCTTAAATCCTAATTAACTTTGTTACTTGCATAAGCTGCTCAAAGTACTTTCCTCCCTGTGGAGAGGGAAGGGAGATTCTATCCCTCCCTCTAAAAACAGCTGCACTTGACTATCCAGGGGAGTTTAAAACGTTGCAAGAATAACTTGATCCTAATTGGAATCTTATTTTTTTTAAAGTTTGTGGACTAAAAGATTTTTTATTTTTACTGAAGATCTGGGTTTTTACTTACAAAAAAGAAGTAAAATTGAAAAGATTATAAAAACTTTGGACTTAAGAGAAAACTCTAAATGGTATGGGTGACATCTTGTGGCTAAACCTGATATTATAACCTGCTATTGCTTGTAAAGCTTTTAACTTAATACACTACTAAGAGAATATGGATGAAGATCAGGAACAGATTCTCTTTATGTTAAAAGCAATTTATGAAACTATTCTTACAGCTACTGATGAAATAAGAGGTTACAGAAAAGAATAAGATGTCACCCCAGATATATGAACTCAAACTTTGATTACAACTAAAAAATCAACTACATAGAATATAATAGAAAAAGTGGAACAATTAAATATTATGACAGAAGATTCAACTGATCAACAAACACAGTTAATGGAAAACCCAGAAAAGGAACTGACAACATGGAAAAGGGAAAATTTAAACCAGAAGAAACTGGAGGACCAAGAAGAAAAACAGACTGAAGAGAAGATAAACAGTTCAGGACAACTATATCAAGATGGGAAAATAGAGAGATGATTTGTTAGTCCTCTGAAAAAAATGGCGACCGGATGGCTTTTTCTACATCAAACAATATACATAACAACACAGTGAGATTTATTTGATGACTCAAAAGCACGGACATGTAAGACAATTTGTCAAAGAAAGAAAGCTACAATAAGACTGAAGAAAATTGGGGCTTTGACTTATCAGTGAGAATTAAAATAGAATATACTCAAATAGATACGATGTGTACTTTGAATACTAGATATTGTTATGAGTTGAGATAAGGAAAACTGGTCACTTAAAACTTGGAAGTATAAATATTAACAGTTAAATTTGAACATTGATTTGCTTATAAAGGTTAAATGTAAAGGTAATTAAGATATATGTAAGCTAAAAATTATTGATGAATGTACTAAATATATTTTTACTTAGTGGTAATAATAAAAACTATTAGCTTATATATGAGATAGTGGATATTAAGAGAAAAAGAGAGGAAGTATTAAATGTTGAAATAAGAGAAATTTTGGTTACTAAGTTTAAGATATTTGGAAATTACTAGAAAATAAGAATGTTATGTTGTATTATTAATTACTTGATGTAAGATGGTGAGAATTCAAATAGATAAGATGTGTATCCTGAACATTAGATCTTGTGGTGAATTGTGATAAAGGGAATTGGGGTTATTTAAAATTTGGAAATTATAAATATTGGATGTTGAATTCGATTATTGATGGGAAACTAAAAATTGGGGAAAACTAATTAGGACATTGATTGTCTAAAAGGATTGAATGTAAAAGTAACAGAGATATGTATAGATTAAAAATTATTGATAAATGTAAGAAAATTATTTTTATTTAGTCAATGTAATAAGAATTATATCAGTTTAAATATGAGACAGTAAATACCAAGAGGAAAAGAGAGGAAATATTTAATGTAATAGTTCGAGATCTGTACTAAATATACTTGTATGTTATTGAATTATTGATCAACTCAGCCACCACGTTGCTTTTCAAATATTTAAATGTAAAATTAGAAAATCAATAAAATTTTCTAAAAAAAAGAAGAAATTGAGCAGCCAAGACACAAGACAAGATTAATCAAATAAACTGTTTATTCCTGGAAATAGCACTTTAAGAGAAACACTATTTTGGAGGGAAGGAGTCCCCAGAACTACATTTAATTGATTTGAATGGTTAATGAAGTAATTCTTACATATAATTCCTCACCAGTAAATGATAGCATAATTACAGAATATGTATCCCCTTAATAATGAACACTAAGTACAGCATTCTTGTGCTTTTCTGCTAATCCTTTATAATATCTGTATACACTGATGAGGGTATCATGGCTGCAGTTTCTAAATCTATGTAGATATTCATGGGGAGTATTATCATGCTTATCATAAGGGAACTGGAAAAAAGTCCAAGCTGAAAAGATGGAGCGCTTTGGGATCTAAACCTGATATAGAATGGTACCATTCCTGAAAGGGACAAATTTGCTGATAAACAAAGCAAACAAAGCAGATTGTGACTACTATGCGTTCTAATAACTGAATAATGACAAGGACATTCTCAGTTGCACTGACGTAAATGTTATGAATGAGCGGCTACAATATGTATGTCCTATAGAGTCAAAGAAAAGTGATTCTCCTGGTGGTTTTAACTGTTGGTCCCCTGAATTGGGCAACTAGTGAGAGACAAATAACTTCTCCTAGAGCTCCAGATTTGTATAAAATAAAACCCTAACCCTTGTGATATGTGAGCTGTCATGCCATACATTGACAGAAAACCATACCATGCCATGCCATGCCATACCATTCAGCGAAAATGTCTGAATATAGAATTGTTACCTGAAATCATCCAAAGTTGAAGAAAGCAAAGTGATATATTATTCTATCTGTATTAATGTCCTAAAAATTAATACATTCAAACCACAAATGCTGCTTTAGTAGTGCGATAATGGTAGCAACTAAAAGTAACCTAAAGTGAGATAAGTTTTGAAAATAATTCAGAGATCCAACATTCAGTGTTTTTGACTTTCTTATGAATAAATAAAGCCTTGGGAGTGCGGTCCCAAAGGGCATTCATTCAATTATCCTGCAGAGGAGCTAGATCAGTGGTGGGATTCAGCCAATTCGCACCAGTTCGGCAGAACCGATATCTATTTTTTTCTTAAATTCGGGGAATCGGCTCCGAAATGGCCAGACAAGCATGCATTCAGGTGCCTCCAATCCCTTGTTTGCTGCAAAGCCAGATTGGAGTCCTTAGGCTACTCCTTCCAGCCCATTTCGGAGCCCCAATGATGCCCTTGACGTGATGGCC